GCCTCAGAGCAAGCATATGGTGCGTGCATTTATGTTAGAAGTTTACAGGAGGGAGATATATACCATTGCAATATACTGTGCGGAAAGTCAAGAGTTGCACCAATAAAACAAATTTCACTACCTCGATTAGAACTATGTGCGGCTGTTCTATTGACGAAACTGATGATAAAAGTACGTACTTCACTTCGAATTACAATTTCAAAAATATTCTATTATACCGACAGTTCGATTGTGTTAGGATGGTTAAACGGTTCTCCTAGTAGATGGAAGACCTTTGTGGGCAATCGTGTAAGCGAAATTCAAAATAATTCAAATGCAGGTGATTGGTACCATGTAAGATCTGCCGACAATCCTGCAGATCTTCTTTCGCGAGGAATATTTCCAAATAATCTAATGAATGCTAGTATTTGGTGGCACGGTCCAGCCTTTTTAATATCTTCTCAAAATATTCAAGACACAAGAAGCAACAATTTAGAGATTTCTTTACCCGAACAACGCCATGTTAGTTGCGTAACATTAGTCGAAGATGAATTCGATATATTTTCAAAATATTCGGTTTTAATTAAGTTACAACGTGTGATCGCGTACTGCTACAGGTTCTGGCATAACTCACAGTACGTATCTAATAAAACATTAGGTCCTTTAACAGTTCGAGATTTAGAATTAGCATTACTTAAACTAACTGTGCTATGTCAAAAACAATCTTTTAAGGAAGATTACATTAGCTTATCGCAAAACAAGCCTTTAAGCAGAAAAAGTAGTTTACTTTCATTAAACCCGTTCCTTGACTCCGAAGGGCTCATTCGAGTCGGCGGTAGACTTCAAAATTCACAATTAGATACTAATCAAAAACATCCAATAGTTCTACCAAAAGCTCATAAGCTAACAAGGTTGATAATGGAAAAGGAGCACAAGCAGCTATTGCATTGTGGAGCACAACAACTTTTATTTGCAGTTAGGCAAAACTACTGGCCAATATCGGGTAGAAACTTAGCAAAAAAGGTGTCTCGTGAATGTGTGATTTGTTTTAAGCACAATCCTAAACCATGTCAAACTATAATGGGTAATTTACCGGATACTAGAGTCAGACAATTTGCGCCGTTTTACAATACAGGCGTGGACTATGCAGGTCCTTTTCAAATGAAAGATAAAAAAACCAGAGGTTGCAAAATAGTGAAATGTTATATTTGTATATTTGTTTGTCTTTGCACAAAAGCAATACACCTTGATGTCGTGTCGGATCTCTCTAGCGAAACCTTCCTAAATTGCTTGAAAAGGTTTATTTCGCGCAGAGGAAAACCTTTAAATATGTTCTCGGATAACGGGACAAATTTCGTAGGTGCGAATAAAATTTTAAAAGAGTTTTTACAATCAATCTCAACATCAATCATTAATACAATGGCTAATGAATCAATCAATTGGCATTTTATTCCACCGCGCTCCCCTCATTTTGGCGGTCTGTGGGAGGCGGGAGTAAAAAGCATGAAGTACCATTTAAGACGCATTCTAGGGGAAACGTTGCTAATACACGAACAATTTTACACCGTTTTGACAAAAATAGAGGCAATTTTAAATTCACGCCCATTAGGTCCCTTGTCCAGCGATCCCAATGATCCTACACCTTTGACACCTAGCCATTTCCTTATTGGAAGGACAATGACCGCTGTACCAGAGCCGAGTCTAGATGGTATTGCAATCAACCGACTCAACCAGTATCAGTTCCTCCAATCGCTGACTCAACATTTTTGGCAACGTTGGCATAAAGAGTACCTTAACCAACTACAAACACGAAAGAAGTGGAAGACAAAAAATGAAGAGGTCAAGATAGGTGATCTCGTCATCGTCAGGGGCGAAAACTCTTATTCGTTCCAATGGCCTCTCGCACGAGTAGTGGATCTCCATAAAGGAAGTGATGGAGTTGTAAGAGTGGTTTCAGTGAAATTACACAACAATGTGGTGAAACGTGCAATCACAAAAATTAGTGTTTTACCATTGTAAATAGTATCGTATATTTAGGAAAAATCAATGTATCTATATCTTATTATTATCTTTGTTTTGAACATTACTTAGTTAGTTCAAGGGCGGCGGCATGTTGCTGCATACTGTAAACCCGCCCATTTTTAAACCAGTTTTTGTACCTGGATATTAGGGTTGAGGCGCTACGCGCGTCGGACCTGAGGAGACGACAATTAAACGTTAAAGCAACAAGTTCGTGTTTCATTATTGTTCACATGTGAGATTACAGTTCAAGTTTCCTATCTCATTAACATATGGCCTAAAGATGATGACGTACAAACTGTGGACCAACAATACATTTTTTTTGGTCCAATAAAGATGATCGGAACAAATAACATGACAATCTCAGAAGAAAATCGTAACGCCATAAAAAGGAAATACAAATCAATTAAAAAAATGTATAAGTAATGTTGTTTATTCAAACTATTTTTAAATTGTGTATGTTTTAAGTCAAAAGTAAACTTTGATTTGTAGTTGGGACAATATTGTATATTGTGTGTTTAACCTGTTCCAAAGCTCACAAAATAAGAAAATATATACCCAGGTAATATTTCAATTACCAAATGACCCGCGGAAATGCTTGTACATATTTAACTGTATGTAGTACCTAAATGATGAGCAAAAGTAACAAATTTCTGGTAAATTTATAGCGAATGTAGTAAATGTTGTGTAAATGTAGTAAATGTGGCAAATTTCTGGTAAATTTATAGCGAATGTAGCAAATGTTGTGTAAATGTAGCAAATGTCTGGCAAATGTAGCAAATGTGGAAAATGGCAAATGTGGTGTACACAATTTTGCCCAGCGGTCAACCCCTCGCACATTTCCAATGGGCCCATACCTGATATAATATAAATGTCAAAAGTGGAAGAAGGACAAGGATCCAAATATAAATCCTTGCAAGAATTAAATTTGCGGCCAATTATAGATAAATCATTATTAGCATCGCATACAATATTTTCAATGCAAACAACAGATTTATCTTTTAATCCACAGCAGCAATCAGCTTCGGTTAGTTTCAATGCAAAATTTGGAAATTGAATACATCTATATTGGGTCATAAGATGATTGCCCAACACAGGACCATTACTATGTTTCATAAGTGGCCTTACTTTATCAACAATATTTCCACTTTCAGGTGTATTTGGGAAGCTGTTTTGTTCTAAAGTACGCTTAACAATTTGTGCTAGAGGATTTGTGCCTTTCCGAACCAATGATTTCAATTTTTGTAAATGATTCTCAAATGGAAAGGCCGAAAAGTTTTGCAAAATTCCAAATCTTTTGCAGTCTTCATAAATATGTAACAAATTATGTATATTATGGGAAGCATGTTCCTTTCCATATAAAACTACAAAAGTCTTTACAAAATACGATAGTAACGATTCTGCATACGCTCCAAAATGTTTCAAAAAAAAGTCATTGGACAAAATAGTTGCACTAACATGTAGACATAGAAAATTGGTATAACGATCAATAGACAAAATAGATTTCAAAATTAATGGACCAGTATAATATAGTAATTGTCTAAATTCAGTAGCTTTAAAGCGTTTTAGATCTTGCAATGATCTCGGTTTTCTGACAAATTCACATGGTACATTATTACGGAGACTAATGAGAAATTTAGAAATACGGGAAATGTCATTAAATGCTAATTTTGTTTTTGGTTTACCATTTACCCATAACATAAGCAACTTTCTAACTACACCTAAACAAATCAAGTGCATGTAATCTAGAGGAATATCGTATACCATGTCAAAATGTGATAGGGTTTCAATTATAGAAGATCCAACATGATGATCTTCATCAAATCTGTTTCGAAATTCCACATCAGATCGTTTCCTCAGATTACTTGTTTCAGAAAAATAGACACGATTGTCAGAAAAGGCTCCTTCAATGTAGCACTTGGAGCATGAACTGTAACCTGTATGACCTTTAGTAAACGTAATAAAAGATTTAGCAGGCGCATCACATATAAATGAATTGACTCGAAATGGGTACGTGATGTTCTTATACTTAAATCCAGTACTTATAAGGGAATTTGATTCTGTTACAAAATCATGTAAAAGCATATTTGCATCTGTTGGTTTCTCAAATCCATGATAGATTCCAATCATTTCCACTGCTTGTGGATTACCTTCCAAATTACACAAAATCGGATAAACCTGACTGCCTGAACTCTTGGAAATTGGTAGCCCATCAACATTGACATTTATTTTAACACTACTTAATGTATCAAAAAATTTATCAATCAACTTAGTAACTGCATTAAAAACCCCAAAATGATAATATTTCCCTGGTTCGACAACTTTTAGTTCACATTTTCTGGGTGTTTTTAATAATGTTCTTGCATCATGTGGTAAAGTTGGATCCAATATATGTAATAATTGCAGTAAAGCGTTCAATGCTATAAGTGGAATTTGAAAATTAATAGCCCATTGAGCTAATAAAACTTGAAAGCATTGTTTCAATGGTTCATTGGACTCTAACGCATCATGTTTAGCAGGAATTACGTCACTTGCAATATCTGCTGTATCGTCGCTTAAATCCGACGTGGAAGTATTACTATCCCTGACGTAGCTACAATCGCTGTCATAGCCATTAGAATCTAAATCAGCTGGTTCGTAATGGTTAGCATCTACCTCGGCATCTACGTTACTTAATTCAACAAGTGAATCGCACAAAGGGTTATCTTCACTTTCGTCTTCGGAAGGTACATTCACACAGTTGTTTATAGAATTAATAGTTAGTTTTGTCCTTTTTAAAGCGTCACGGTAGAGCTTTCTCCTTACTTTATATTTATTCATTTTTTCTAAAAATACTTTTACAAACTACCTACGTATTGTATGTACTTACACAATTCGGACACAATGAGGGATGCCAAGGCCAAGGAAGGCAGGTAAAACGTAAAGTGTTCTAAAAAAAGTAGTTACAACAATTAATTATTGATAATTGTCTAGGTCAATACTTACGATTAAAATGGTGTGAATTTCGGTGAAAAGAGATAATCTCGTTGCTGAGCTGAGACCTGGTAGCGCGGTGCGGTTATTCACCTTCACCTTCACAAAATCCATAAATTTTATCGTACCGAATCGCGTGTTGTCGGTGCATTCGTTAAAATGGTAAAACGCGATTGGTAGCGAGGTTCGGCAGACGTTGTAAGAATTGAAGTGCGTATTGCTTTTCCTATGACGACATGTTTTAGTATTAAGAATACAATATAAATTAACAGCATTCTATTTATTGTAGTGATATCCCAATGCTTATGTTAGCGCATTTTATCTACGGTCTGAACACAAATAATTAAAATTAAAAAGTTACAATGCTTTCATGAAAAATGTACGTACAGTGGATATAAGTATTTAACATACATAGTACGTACTGAGATGTACGTCAAATGTACGTCCATTTTTAGTACATGGACGAACTTACCTAAAATGGACAAAAAATGTACGTCCAATGGACGAAGCGTGCTATATGGGTAAATGCACAGCTTTTGACACCTTTTCGAGATAACGGTCACCTAAACCAAAAACAAACAAAATTTAATGTGTGCCATGCTGCTACTAGATCACCAATTGAAAGAGCTTTTGGTATCTTGAAAGCCAGGTGGAGAAGATTAAATTATTTGGAATTACACAATCCTTTTTATATACCACATGTGATTATGGCAGCATGTATATTACACAATTTTTGCACACAACGTTGCGAGGAAGTTCCAGAAATCATTAATGATGATAACGAGGATGGTAAAAGCCAGATACGTAATCGTTTTTCGGATGTAGACACTAGGAAGGGTAATGATAAACGCATTGCTATTATGAATAAACTGTAAACGTGTAATGTTATATTAAGATATAAGAACTAATATACATTTATTCTTGCTCCTTGTTTAGAATATTATTTACTAATTTTTCTAAGAGAGTATTGAAACGGCGTTTCTCCACCATCTCTTCTTCATGTTGTTGTTTGTTTTGCTTTAATATAGAGTTTAATAAATCGGACATATCACATGACGACTTCCTTTTTCTGTTACTGCTCTCTGGAGTGTTGGACCGTGTATTTCGAGGAGAATCTTCTGCTGACATGGATGGTTGACTACCACTACACACTGTTATCTCGCCATTATTAATTACTACTGGTGGTTGAACAGTTGGATTCCCTTTCAGAAGTTCATCCATAAGATCAAAGTACTGCCAATTTTTGCGCCCTCTGCCTGTTTCATTATTGTGGTCTTTTACATTTTTGTATGTACGTAACAAACTTTTCCACTTATTTTGTATCTGGTCCCATGTGTAAGAACTGGACTCTTCATTATTTATATTGGTAGCTATCCTGCAATAAAATGCACATTAGTACATTAAAAAAATAATAAAAAAATTAAATCACTTTTTCCAAATATGTCGTTTTAAGGAGTTCTTTTTTTCTAAGTCATTCTTATGTTTTCGGTATTCATCAATTAGCATTAATATTGCAGAGTGAGACCACTTTGCATTGTCATTTTCCATCGAAACAGTTGCATTTTCCTTATCACACAAAGCATCTTCTTGCGAGTCTTCTTGTGTTTCTGTTACAACTTCGTCAGGTGCTCCACCAGCAGTGATATCTAAATCAAACCAATAAAAACAAAATATGTTTAAAGGTCAACATACCTTCATCACAATAAATTACATTGTTTGCCCCTATGCTTAATAAACATTTGCCAGCAAAACATCGGTGCTTTTCAACTTCCGTCCACGTTAAATTTTTTGATTTACAATAAAAACAATTAAACACCTGAACTACGTCTGCCATTTTGTCGAAATGTTAGGTTATGACTTTTAAAGCACCACCTGCAGACCTGGTGCTTGAAATGCAAACTCGAACACAACACTCGAACTAAATAAGTAATTTAAAAACGCGGAACGTTTCTGTTCGACTGCATTAAAAAACGCTCTTTTAGTTGATCGCGTACTCGATCCGTTGTTCGAGCTATTTAAAAACGCACTCAATAACATCCTGTAGGCTGTACTCCTCATTTTTAGACGGATTCTCCAAGCTACCACAACAATTTACTCCGCCATAAAGCATTAGACGCAATTAGGACAGAGTTGATGAATATATATATAAACAAGACTTTACAAATGAAGAGATCTCAAAGAAAATTAACAATTTAAGGACTCAATTTATAGAAAACGTTCGAAAAGTGAAAAAACAAGTTCCTAGTGGGTCGGGCAGTGAATCTCCAAAACCAGCATGGTGGCTATACGATAGTTTATTTTTTCTTCTTCCGTATTTAAAAAAAGATAAGGGAATTTCAAACATTAGGACATTGTAGGAGGATATCTCCCAAAACACGGAAGTTTCTGTTTATGAAGTGGCTAACACGGAATTGGTATGTAGTGATTACAAAAGTACTGTCGAGTCGTTAAGAGTTTCATAGCGGTCGGCTGCGCACTTGTCCAAATTTTAAACGAAGGTCGACCTACAATATTTATCACAAGTTGATATGTTTTCACCGCCACTGGTAAGTAATTTCTATAAATATTCAACAGTCGATTCCTGACGACCGCAGCGGAACTCACGATTCACCTGCGCAGTTCCATGCATACTCTTAACGACCCGACAATATTAGCGTAACATTATCAAGTATTTTGTCTGTACATGTACCATTCAATATACTATGGTCTTAGGATGTACCAGAAGGTGAATACAGCATAAACGAAGAGGGAGCACTTTCTCCAGTTAATGATTTTGAGGATCTTACTCCAACTCCTTCACCAGCAAGCATGTCAGAATCAGATCCTGTTCACAATAAACAGTCAAGGACCACTGTTCCTGCCAAGAGTGTTAGAATGTATAGATAGTAGTCGGCTGAGGGTAATTGTCAATTAATAAATAAAATAGAAAGTTATCATTTGATTGAATTAGTTTGTATTCATCTTCCACATTAAAACAAGAGGTTATGGGCTATCTCAGCACATTGTGAAGTGGTTGGTTTTTGGTGCAGTTTGAAGAAAAACGTTTGTGAGCCGAAACTTAGAAATTTGAATTACATTACACATCAATCAAATGGCAGATGAGGAAAAATTTGTGTTCCGACAATTTGATGGACGAGAATTTAGCAATTGGTATTTCCGGCTACAAGTAGTGCTAGAGGACAAAGGAATTGAAAAATGGTTGGAAACAGATGCAGCCAAAGCTGTAACAGAACCTGATATCCGTGAAAATAATGTGGAAATTGCGAAAATCATTAAGGAAGATCGCGCATGTCGTTTACAAATAACTCGTCGTGTTGCGGATTCGCATTTAGAGTATTTGAAGGAACGGAAAACAGCATTTGCAATGATACAGTCGCTTCGTACAACGTTTGAAAGAACAAGTATAGCAACAGAAATTAGTGTAAGAAAGCGAATGTTACTGCTACGTTGTGAAGATTCAAGTAATCTAACTGAACATTTCCTCAACTTCGACAAATTAGTGCGCGAATTAAAAGCATGCGGAGGAGAAATGGATATCAGAAATTTAATTGTCACATTATTTTTGACTTTGTCAAGGAAATATGATATGGTGGTCACTGCTCTTGAGACGATGGATATTAAAAACTTAACAATGGAGATTGTTCGCTCGCGTCTGTTAGACGAAGAGAGCAAATCGTGCAATTTGGATGCAGGTCAAAGTAGTTCAAATAGCATTGCCAGGTATGGTGGTGTAATACGTTGTTATTTTTGCAAGAAAGAAGGTCATAAACGCAACGAATGTCCAAAGTTACTTCAGAAGAAGAACGGTAGATCAAGTAAAATGAACAATGTGAATTTGAAGAAAGGAAAATCGAATTTGGCAATTAGTGAAAATGCGGTAGATGATGTGGCGATTGTTGCTGACACGAGTACATTTGCCTTTGTTGGCCACACAAAATCATCAATTCGCTTCATAATTGATTCAGGTGCTTCTGAACATATGGTGAACGATCTATCATTGTTCAATGAATTATGGGATTTGAAAGATCCAATTATTGTAGGTGTTGCGAAAAGTGGCGAGTCGATTCAAGCATACAAGCGAGGTATAATTCGAGGAACTGTTGTTGTGAATGGGGATGAAAAACGTTGCACACTGACTAATGTACTTTTCATCAAAGATTTGAAATATAATCTGTTTTCGGTAAGCCGATTGGAGGATGCTGGTCTAGAAATGATTGTGCAGAATGGATTGGTCCATATTATGCGGGGTACAAGTGAAGTAATCACCGGTCGGCGGATTGGACGCTTGTATGAATTTGAAATGAAACGCATTTTGAATGAAAACGTACACGCGGTGATAAAATCCAATGGCAGTGTAAAGCAAAGTTTAAAACTATGGCACAGGCGACTAGCACATATGAATTACGCCGATGTAAGAAAAATGCCATCGTTGGTTAACGGTGTTGGCGTATTAGTTGATGACGCGGATACTATTTGTGAACCTTGTATCATGGGCAAGCAATCTAGAAAGCCGTTCGCCAATTTAGGCGGAGCGCGATCAAAGCGTACGTTGGCTTTGGTACACAGTGATGTTTGTGGGCCGATTTCACCATGCACATGGGATGGTTACAAATATATGGTGACATTTATTGATGACTTTACTCATTTTATGGCAGTGTACCTTATCAAAGAAAAATCGGATGTCTTCACTATGTTCCAGAAATACAAATTAATGGCGGAAACGCATACTGGGCAGAAAATAGGCGCGTTACGTTGTGATAATGGAGGAGAATACACATCTAATCGGTTCAAGGCAGAATGCGAAGCATCTGGCATTCAATTACAGTATTCGATTTCGTATACACCGCAACTAAATGGTGTCGCGGAACGAATGAATCGAACGTTAGAGGGTAAGGTCCATGCTCGAAGGTGGACATATGGAACGCATATTTTGGGGTGAAGCTGTATATTGTGCAACTTTTGTGATGAATCGTAGTATAACTCGAGCGATTCAGTCGGTTGCAACACCATACGAGCTTTGGATGGGGAAGAAACCAGACATTTCAAAATTCCGTGTTTTTGGTTCGCCTGCATATGTACATATTCCTGATCAACTTCGTAAAAAGCTGGATGCAAAATCAACCAAGATGGTGATGGTTGGTTATGGAGTTAATGGCTATCGACTTTGGGATTCTTCAAAGAATCGAATTATTGTAAAACGTGATGTAATATTCGATGAATCAAAACGCAATGAATCATCGAACATATTTTACGAGTCAGATCAAGCGAAGAGTGGTGTTGACGAGGCGGAGATTGACGATGTTGGAGATAAAACAACGTGTAAAGGAAAGGATAGTATTGATTCAGGCGGAGTAATAGATGTTGGACGAATTGATACTGAATTTGATAATCAAGAATTATATTCCGGCAATGAATTAGCACGTTCAAAGCGAAAGCGTCAACCACCAAGTAAATTCGGTAGCTGGGTCGACAGTTCGACAATTGAATTAAGATACGATGATGAGCATGAAAATTATCTATCCACATGTTCATTTAATACGGACGAATGCTTCTCTGCATTTGCACTAAATGCAATAGCATTCATTGATGATGTTCCCATGAAATTTGGAGACATTGCAAAACGAAATGATTCTGATCAATGGATGAAAGCGATCAATGAAGAAATGAATTCTTTAAAAAGAAATGAAACTTGGTCCCTTGTTGAACGACCATCCAACCGTGCTGTCATTACTTGTAAATGGATATTCTCAAGGAAGCGGAATGCTGCAGGAGAATTGGAAACGTACAAAGCAAGGTTGGTCGCTCGTGGGTTCACGCAACGAGAGGGGTTTGACTTCAATGAGACCTATTCACCGGTGGCGAAAATCACGACTGTACGTCTTTTGCTGGCGCTTGCGGTTGAGCGAGATTTGGAAATACACCAAATGGACGTGAAGACTGCTTTTCTTAATGGCAAGCTTGAAGAGGATATTTATATGGAGCAACCCGATGGCTTTGTCCAAGGCAAATTGGTGTGCAAATTGAATAAGTCTCTCTACGGACTTAAACAAGCGTCAAGAGTTTGGAATGAGCGTTTTCACACATTTGTTGTAAGAATTGGTTTCTTACGTTCGCAATATGATCAATGTTTGTACTTGATGGGCAGTGGGGCAAGTATGATCTTACTTTTATTGTATGTGGACGATTTAATTTTGCTTGGAAAGAATTTGGATAAGATTTTGATTGTTAAGCGTTTGATTGCAGCCGAATTTGAGATGCAAGATATGGGTGAAATAAAAACCTTCCTTGGCATCAATATCCAAAGAAACCGTGATGCTGGGACATTATATTTAAGTCAACGCAAATATCTCGAAGACGTTCTACGTAGATTCAACATGAATAATTGCAATCCGGTTGCCACACCAATGGAGATTCAAACCAAGAAGATCACACGCAGTGAATCAGAATTCACGAAGAAACCTTATCGTGAACTGATTGGCTGTCTTATGTACATAGCTTATGCAACAAGACCTGATTTATGTGCCGCTGTCGGTTACTTCAGCCAATTCCAGTCATGTGCGACTGATGAACATTGGATTGGTGCAAAACGAATATTAAGATATGTCAAAAGTTCTCTTGATTTGCGATTATTATACAACTGCCATTATAAATCACCAGTATTGGAGGGATTTGCCGATGCTGATTATGATAGTGAATCAAATGAGCGAAAATCGATTTCAGGAAATATAATCAAAGTGTTTGGTTCAACAGTTGGATGGACAGCACGAAAGCAAACGTCCATTGCTTTATAACTACGGAGTCAGAGTACATTTCTTTGGCGATTGCTGCTGCTGAAATTATCTGGTACCGTGGTATATTATGTGAAATTGGTATATCTCTGGATGGACCAACGATTATTCATGAAGACAATCAAGGGAGCTATAAAAATCGCTTTAGGTGAAAAGGTTTCACAACGAACAAAACATATTGATATAAAATATCATTTCATTCGTGATTGCATTGAGAAACAAATCATCAATCTTCGTTATATTAAAATGCAAGAGCAACAGGCCGACATAATGACAAAGGGGTTGTCAAAGAATGTATTCCAGTACATATGCAAGAAAATTGGACTTGTAAATTGATCTGGATATTATTTTTATAGTTATTGTTCTGTTGATTAGATGTAAAGTAAGCGATTCAAATATTTAGGATTAAAATTGAATCGAGGCGGAGTGTTAGAATGTATAGATAGTAGTCGGCTGAGGGTAATTGTCAATTAATAAATAAAATAGAAAGTTATCATTTGATTGAATTAGTTTGTATTCATCTTCCACATTAAAACAAGAAAGAGTGCAAAGCGTTCTAAGAAAAGAAAAGGGGACGATGCAGTAAAGGAAGCTATGTTAACTGCAATTAAACAAATTAATGGAAATTCCGAATTTTCATCCGATATTGAGAAATTTTTACAGTATGTTGGCGTAGGATTGCAACAAATTTCCAATGTCAGTTTGTATCGGAAATGTAAACTAGAAATTTTAGGTATTATTGACACATATCTATTCTATTCTATTCTATCAGGGGAGCCTTTACAGGCAGCACTTAGGCTCATCAACTGCCCATTGTGCTAACCCCCTCTCTAAACAACCAAAGCTTAGAGCCCTTTCCCTTCAATGAAGGATAAGACCCTATTTAGCCTTAGTTTCCTCACCTCCCTCGGTTCCAAGTAACTGTCACCGAGGAGTTTATGTCTGTCCCTGATCAGAGCGTCACAGTAACAGACTACATGCTCGGTAGTTTCCTCTACCTCACCACAAAACCTGCACGCAGGGTCTTCCACAAGCCCAATATTGTGCAGGTGATAGTTGACCATCCAGTGTCCCGTGAAGACACCGACGATCTTCCTAATCTGACTTCTGTTTAGGTTTAGAAGCTTAGAAGACTCAGATTTGCCAAGAGGCCCTGTTAAAAAGGTCTTGGACTGTCTGAGTCCAGCTGCCTGTTGCCATTGAGCCTGGAATTGACTGGTCGCCCAGTTCTTAATCCTGACCCTGACAACTGAGGGAGCAATTCCAAGGGTGGGCTCAGGCCCGACAAGGACCCCACTACTGCCTTCGCGAGCCAACTCGTCCGCCCTTTCGTTGCCCCCTATTCCAGAGTGCCCCGGCACCCATATCAAGCTTACCCTATTAGACACCATTCGGTAGATTTCGTTTTAAACGTCTTCCATTTGGAATTTTAGCAGCGCCAGAGATTTTTCACTCTACAATGACTGAATTGTTCGCAGACATCCCTAACACAGTAGTCTACTTTGATGATCTGCTAATTCACGCACCAACTAAAGAAAAACATCATGAGATATTGGAGCAGGTGCTTAAGCGCGCTAAGGAAATAAATTTAAAATTTAATTTAAATAAGTCTCAGTTTTGTCTTAATAAAGTCACGTACATGGGTCATGTGTTCTCAAAGGAAGGCATGACACCAGATCCGAATAAAATTAAAGCTATTGTAGACATGAGTCAACCAAAAAATTCACAAGAACTACAAAGATTCTTGGGAATGCTTACATATTTGTCAGCATACATCAAAAATTTCTCTGAAGAAACACAGCAGTTGAGAATTCTTCTAAAAAAGAATGTTATATGGAATTGGGACACAAATCATACAGCTACATTTAACAAATTAAAAACCTTAATTACAAAAGCCCCAGTTCTAACTTACTTTGACCAGACTAAAGAATTAATTTTGTCATGTGACGCTTCACAAAATGCAGTAGGAGCCGTTATACTACATGGATCAAATCCAATTGCCTACTCGTCAGCCTGTCTTACCGAAGCTCAAACTAATTATGCTCAAATTGAAAAAGAGCTGCTAGCGATTGTTCACGGTTGTCTAAAGTTTCACCAATTTATCTTTGGTCACAAAATTACGGTCCATACGGATCATAAACCATTAGTGCATTTATTCATAAAAGCATTACACAAAGTGCCACAAAGACTCCAAAGGTTTATGTTCAAAATTCAGTGCTATGATCTCAATGTCATGTACAAACCTGGTAAAGAAATGTATATTTCGGACACATTATCCAGATCGCCTTTGTCAGACTCCATTGTAGATTTACAAGAAGATATCACGTTACACATAAATATGCTCAAGTCATGTTTAGAACATCACCTAAAACATTAGAGTCCTTTCGAAAGGAAACTGAAAATGACGAGGAATTGCAAACCATCGTAAAACTTTGTCAAACAGGTTGGCCGCCCCTAGCCAAGAGTAATCGTCCCCCAGACTAAACCATATTACAACTTTCAAGAGGAAATTAATGTACTTGATGGGCTAGTGTTCAAAGGAAATAACTTAGTGGTTCCGAAAGCTCTTAGGTCAAAAATGCTAACTAAAATTCATACGGGTCATTTTGGTCTACGTAAATGCCTTGATTATGCTAAGAATGCATTATTCTGGCCTAATATGTCAAATGACGTGCGAAATATTGTAACGACATGTGTAGCATGTCTGGAATATAGTAATAACAACTCAAAGGAACCTTTATTGCCACACGAAATTAAAGCAATACCATGGAACAAAGTAGGTGTTGACTTCATGGAATTAAAGGGAAATAAATATCTTATTTGTAGGGGAGACCGGGGCAGGTTGTAACACGGGGCACGTTGTAACACTGCAAATTCTGTTAAACTGAAAAAATCTGGCAACATCGCAATATACATTTATTGAAAGAGCCTTCAAAACGGTTAGTCTGATGTAAGTTGTGGAAGTGTGCGTACTGCCGTGTTCCAGAAATAAGACGGAATAACCTTTTTTGGCGCGTAAGTAAATGTTGCATGTTTTTGGTTTTTTTTTGATTTCCTGGTAGATGCATTTGTACATGTTATGTTGACGCATCCGGTATAAAAGAACGATAACATGTACGGACCGTTGACAAGCAAAATCGCTCTCTCCCAACCCGACTTTCGACGAGTACGTAACAAGGCGTGTGAATAATATACGAAACATTGATTTATGCCTTTTATTTACACCCTGCCATTTCGGCATACATAACACTGGCGACGAGGTAAATATAGCAATTCATTTAAAGGGTTTGGGTAGAGCAAAATTTTTCAAGTAAAGTAACAGTAGTTGAGGTTAAAAAGGCAGTGGCAATGGCGGTTGTCGGAACCATGCCAGTTTTTGACTGTAACGAAGATTTCGTTATTTTTAAAGAACGGATCGTTCAATTTTTTAAGGCAAATTCTATTGCGGAAGCGAAGCAAGTTCCGGTGTTAATTACAGCGTTGAGTAGTTCGGTGTATACGACCTTGCGCGATTTATGTTATCCAGATAAACCCGATACAAAAACTTTTGCCGAAATTTGTAAATTGTTGGCACAACAGTATTCAAAAGCGATATCAATTTTCAACGAACGAAGAATTTTCTACAAGATGCAGCAAAGTGAAGGAGAGCAGATTAACGATTGGTTCGCGCGGGTAAAGAAGCTGGCAGTAAACTGCAAATTTGGAGCCGACTTAACCATGGTTTTAAAAGATAAGTTTGTGACAGGGATGGTGGATGGCAAGGTGCTAGACAGACTGGTAGAGGAGGATCCATCGCAGAAGACCTTAGACGAACTATTTCAAATGGCGGTAAAAAAGGAGGCATCCTTGCGGATAAGCGGTGGTAGCAGTCGACAGCAGCTGTTTGCAATAGACAAGAAGAGGGTTACTGAAAGGCGAGCTGAAAGGGGTCCGCAGCACAAGGTACATTCAGCGAAAGCGTCGGGCTCACAGTCACAGGTGAAGTGCTACGCGTGTGGTAAGAAGAATCACAATTTCAGTAAGTGCACGTACAAAAATTTTAAGTGTAGGTTATGTTTTAAAGTGGGACACATTACATCTATCTGTAATATGAAAAGACAAAATTACCTGCAAAGTAGAGACGAAGCACAATCACATGTTGAAATTCAAAATGAGGATTCTGTTTTAGAGCGTACTTTGTATCACTTAGATAATGAGGTTACACATAATTTTAAAGTAGATGTTTTCATTAATCGTGTTAGGTTGCGAATGGAAATCGATACAGGTTCTGCCATTTCGGCAATATCTTTTAAATTGTACAATGAACTGTTTAATAACTTACCGTTACAGGTTTCAAGGACAGTCTTGAAATCGTATGATGGTACAAATATTTATCCAAAAGGAAAAATTAACGTAAGCTTGCAGATTGGAGGTGATTGTAAGATGGTCGAATTATTAGTCATCGATAATGGTGGAAACCCATTGTTGGGTAGAGATTTATTAGCAAGGTTTAATCACAGATTTAAATATACTACAGATGGATCATGAGATAGGCGATTGTGGAAACGCAACAAACGTTCCAGTTGCTAGCGCACCTATATGAATTTTATTAAATCGAAAGTTTTAGTTTGGGTCTCAGCTTAAAATAATCAGCAGGAGTCTGTATAACGATGGCATAGAAGGTTTTTACTATTGATGGTGCTGAAAAGCAATATGATATGAATTTTTTCTTCGTAATTAAAACAATGGGTCTTTGTATTGTGTGTTTGTGTTCAATTACGACCTTGTGTGGGCGTATCTGTGGCTGTTCTCTCTCCTTTAATTTAAATTAATAAAATCCAAGAACAATTTTTTTCTATAGAATGGTAGTTTCAGTTTCAGTCTGAAAATTAAAATTCTGTAATCAACTACTATCAATCGAGAGTTTTGATATGTCTATACGTTCATTCAAGGCATCGCCAAATGAAATTGAAACCAGGTGTAAAATTCTTGCAGAACAGCTTTTTATAACTACTCGAAAACTTCACTCGTTATCTGTTTGTTTATTTTAACTTAATTTTACTACCCGCATGTCAGTAAGCGAGGTATTGCAGTGGGGTAAAAAATGACCCCTCCCTTTTTTTACGGGAATACATCAAATACATGGTTTGAGGCACCAGGAATCCGGATCAAACAAAATCTCGATGATGTATACAGGGTGATTTATATCAAAGTTCTATTTTTTTAAATAAAACTCACCTATATATTACATATTTCGATTACTTGGTCAATTTTAGTGTGACTTTATTTACACATGATATCTAAAATGAGTGGCTGAGCGTCATTTTTTCAAAAAATAGATGTCCAGTAAAAATTGAAAACGAAGTTTCCATAAAACTTAGAAGACCATGACGCTGCAGTATTACTAATCATCACGTCTGCTTACCTACATACGCCGAACGGTCAAAGTTAAACTTTTTTTGTGCTAAACGAAATCGTCAATTTTCAAAATTTCAATCAAAGATAACTTGATTTTTTTAATTGAAACTACCCAGTTTTTTATTGCATCAAATGTAGGATTTGATTACCTTTTTAACGATATAAGCACGCCGTATTTACCTTTTATACATATTTTTGTAATTCAACCATTTCTAATAATACACAAGGTTTTTCGATTTTCAAAGCCTCTCAGTAATTAATAGGCCGTTAAAAGTTATAAACACCTATTCTAATTATAAAACAGGGAGTTATATTTAAAAAAAGTGCAACTTTGATATAAATCGCCCTATATAACAATTGCAATTTCGTTGAAAATATTTTTAGGTTGTAGCCTGAAGAGTCCTTCAATATGCCCCGACAATGAATTTTAAATATTCTTTTCAAATCCTAAAGTATTTAGTAACCGCGCACTAAGCTGCTGTATTTCGGAGAATTTAATATATATATTTTTTGTAATAAAACCAAATTTGTGTAGGTTAAACCAAGAAAAATAATCTCTTTCAAATAACTAAATAAAAAATTTAGTGCTACTATGTATTTGAAAAAAAAGTTTATTTGTAGTAAAACCTAGCATAATTTGTGTAGGTTGTACACAGAAAAAGAAAGTCTTCCGAATAATTTAATAAAAATTTTGCGTTATTGCTATTTAAAAAAAATAGTACGACGTTTACATCCTTTATGCCTAATCTGCCAACGTATGTACGTACATATATACATACGAGTTAAAACAGACAGTAAAATTTTTTATTCTTTAAAAGTTGCTTAATGATCTAAAACGTAGACGTTTGATGAAATTTTGATACGTCCAAAAACGGTAATCGCAATATAGCCACCCCGCGCTTTTTGACGACCCGTACGGATTTACTACTATCTCAAAATATATCGAAGTACTTTCTTCACTATTTTGTTCCGCATTATCATGTAGCCTTAGAAATTCATGACTATACCAAGAACAGAATGGTTCCACGTACATATCGTGGAAATTGTAACGTCTACTGCGGTACTTTCCCAATATAGGGTCTCAACTGGGATGCGACATTTTCGATCTCACAGAAATTTGGTATCTGCGTCTCTTTAAGAGAAATATAACGAAACCAAAATTGTTTTTGAAAATTCGAATTTTAACTGCAATTCGGGACCAGACATAGGCCTACGGTAGTTTTTAGCTCATTTTTGCAAAGTAGGATCGATGTCAAAACTCTAATTGCATCTTCATTTGTTCTTAATAGAAGCATTTCATACCACTTTGGTCGGCTGACTGGCTGATTGGATGGCTGCAAATGAGGGCCTGTAGACAATCGCATGTAGGAAGACGAGGAGTGTACGTGCCCATACGGGGTCGTGTAATTAACAACTTTAGGGACGGGGCTACATGATGTTGGGACGGCGACATCTGGGCGCCATCCCCACGCGTGGTTTACTAACGTGGTAATTTTTAGTTTTTCCTATCTTCTTCTACAGTTTTGGTCGACGTAGAACCCATAATCACACGTCAAGATACAATTTTACAAGTCGTACGACAAAATCGTATAATGTGAATCTTGAAATATTTGGTTATGGCAACTCGCAAGTCGCAAGAGAAATCGTAATCAAAATCACATAACGTAAATTGCACTTATAAGAATCCCCCATTTACACGCTTCTAACTTGTATTTGAACTGACCACAAATTTTTTTAAAGTTTCGTCAATAAATTACCAGTGGAACGGAGAAGAAAAAATAACTTTTTGTCTCATAGGCACAGCCAAATTATCCCTTAGAGCCTTGGGCGATTAATTTAACAGCCTCAATTGCAGATATGCTTTGTGCCTCGATCTTTAACAGGGCTGCGCGTGTAGAAAAAGCAACCAAATTTCGGAGCTTAAATTTTCAAACAATTACTTCAAAATAATCAGACATTGAGATACTCAAAAAGTACCTAGTGTTTTCACATAACAATATTTTGAAAACTCTTTCGAATGCAGACATCAATGCGAGGCACCTTGTTAAAAGTTTTTGATATTTTCTATCAGCTAAGTCGTAGAACTCTTTGAGTATTTTTCAATGCGAACACTATAAATGTTAAAAAAATAAGTCAATTTTAACAATGGTGAACTCAAATCAACAATCCCTATAAGTTTTGTTTTTATTTCAGGGACGACCTCCATTGCAAAGGCTTTGTTGACACCTTTTACTATTTTTGCCACCAAAATTACCTACAGTTACCGTTGTCTCCACAAAAACCCCACAACTTTTGATTTTAAATCATTTAATGTTAATATACTTCCTTACAATATTCAACGATTATATCCGATTGGGATCCAAACTCCAAGATTTGAATTTGCGCGTCCTTCTGTGGTCAAAAATAATGGACGAGAAACAATTTTGTAGAGCCATGGTTTGAGGCATCTCACTCAGTCCATAATGTTGCAATATTTTTGAAATCCACCATCCATCAATATACCGCATTTTTTTTACAGAAAACCATGTTTTTTAGAAATAAAACCCTGTTGTGATTGTCGTGGACAACCAGGATATATAAGGAAAAAAATCATTAATCCGCATGTGAGCAAAGGCGAAGAGTGCATTTTCAAAGTTGTTTTTTCGATTTTAACAGCCCTTATGGACATTTCATGCCTTAATGAGAATACAAAAATGAAATAATTTTTAATTTCTGATCGAATGACACCAATACCAAGTCTGTAAGTGGTGTAGTTCTGGAGCCTTTGTGACTCAGACAGACAGACAGGTAGACATATCAAGAGCGCCAAAGTGTGCACATTTTATTTTTTGAAAGTGTACTCAAAACGGAACTGTCACGTTCAAAACGGGAAGTTTGGTCACATCTCACATTCGAGTCATATTCGCTACCTTGACTTAAATTCTCAGAGACGCCTATTGTTAGGTACCTATGTTGTTTCTCACAAATACAGGCCTAACACCTTCTCTGATTAATTAATAAAAACTTCGTCTACGTCATAATTGTGCTTTTAGACCGTCTTATCATTAAAAATACTATAAAAATCCAAATACCAGCCCGGAACACGCCAAGCTATCAGAGATGTAGGCATTAGAACCTAAATCGCACAAAATACCGTACCTACTTATAATCAAAAATAAATCAATTATACGGTAAACATCCTGCATAATTACAAATCTTGTTGGTTTGACAGAATAAGGTATAATCAGTCGTCGGTTCGCCCTTCCGAGTTCCGATATAAAGGAATGTGTATGTGTAACTAACATAAACGCATGCTAGCAGAAAAATTGCGAGTGTAAATGGGGAAGGTCAGTTACATACAATACAACATTTGTTGGGCTCTGTGTAATCGGATACCCCTGTTTATCGCAACAGTTCTTGTCTTTCTTATTGCAGTTGTAAACCACGCGCAAGTTATTCATTCTACAGCGCTTCCTTGTGGACGCGGAATAACACTAATTTAGTTTGGATTTAACGCACCAGAGGCTTAAATCCAAATCACCGTTGCCAGAATTTAACATGGCATGATCCATCTGTAGTATATTTAAATCTGTGGTTTAATGTAAGTATGTGTAGCAAAAATGTGTTCGTGTTAAATGATTGTAAAGATAGTTTAGACGTTTTAGTAAATAATTATGCAGAGCTATTTAAAGATGAGTTAGGTCATTTTAAATTTGAAAAGGTGAAATTGGAAGTGGTAGAAGGAACGACACCTAAATTTCATAAACCAAGAAATTTGCCAATTGCTTATAAAGGATTAGTTGAAGTAGAGTTAGACAGGTTACAAAAAGAAGGTGTAATTACACCAGTTCCAGATTCAGTTTGGGGGACACCCTTGGTCCCTATATTAAAAAAAGATGGGACAATTCGGTTGTGTGCCGATTATAAGGTTACGGTAAATAATTATTTGAAAGATGTTAAATATCCCCTCCCATTAATTGAAAATTTATTTGCCGCTTTACAGGGTGGAGAGAAGTTTTCTAAATTAGATCTCAGTCACGCATATAATCAGTTAGAGCTAGAGGAATCCACCAAACTTTTACTAGCGTGGAGTACGCATAAAGGTATATTTAAAGTTGAAAGACTGCCTTTCGGTACAAAACCCGCTTGCTCGATTTTTCAACACATAATGGAGAAAGTATTGCAAGGAGTAACAGGAGTGACCGTTTTTCTGGACGACATTGTAGTGACAGGGAGAAATAACAAAGAACATTTGCAAAACTTAGAGGTAGTGTTTCAAAAATTAAAAGGTGCAGGATTCCGTTTGAATCGAGTGAAATGTAATTTCCTACAGGATAGAATCGAATATTTAGGGCACATAATTAGTAAGGAGGGGTTACAAAAAAATCCTTCTAAAATTAAAGCAATAGTGAATTGTCCAAGACCCGAGAATGTTTCGCAAGTAAAAGCTTTCATCGGTATGATTAATTACTATGCGAAATTCATTTCTAATGTTACAAAACTTTTAAATCCATTGTACAAATTGCTAAGTAAGGACAGTGTTTTTGCATGGAGTAGGGAATGTGAAAATTCATTTATCACAGTAAAAGAGGTAATGGCTTCGGATATAATTTTGGTACATTTTGATCCAAAATTACCTATCAAAGTAAGCTGTGACGCGAGCTCCTATGGAGTAGCAGGCATTTTAGCACATGTATTTCCGGATGGTAGTGAGCGACCTATTGAATACGCATCACGTAAATTAACAACTGCCGAGATGAATTATGCGGTCATTGATAAAGAGGCCTTGGCTATTTATTTTTCAATAAACAAGTTTTCTAATTATTTGTTTGGCCACAAATTTGTATTAGTGACCGATCATAAGCCATTAAAATATCTTTTTGGAGATACAAGAAGTATACCAGTAACGGCAGCAGGACGTTTACAGCGTTGGGCGGTGTATTTAAGTGGTTTTGATTATAGTATCGAATATGTTGAAGGGAAAAGAAATAGTAATGCAGATGGTTTATCTAGATTACCTATAAATTTGATTTTAAAGGAATCTACAGAGTACACGTATTTGAATTTTGTTTCACAAAATTCAGATATCGTGGTGGATGCAAAGGCAATAGAGGAAGAAACTAAAATTGACAAAATTTATTCTAAGATTTTTAAGTTTGTAAAAGATGGGTGGCCTACACAGAATACGGATAAAGATTTGCAACGTTTTTTCAATAGGAGATTCGAATTTAGTATAGAACAAGAGGTAATTATGTTAGGACACAGGGTGGTAGTACCTACAAAATTCCACGACAGTATTTTAAACGAGCTGCACATTACACATGCAGGAATAGTTAAAATGAAGTCGATCGCACGTTCTTACGTGTGGTGGCCGTTAATAGATGCAGATATAGAGAGAGTAGCTAAACAGTGTGTAATTTGCAACAAGTTTAAACCCAATCCTCCACTTGCAGAAGTTTTAGCATATAAACAAGCCAAGCAGGTGTTTGAGAGAATTCATGTAGATTTTTTTGGTCCTGTAAGGAATAAAATGTTTCTTGTAGTGCTAGATGCATGTAGTCGTTGGCCGGAAGTAATTGAAATGTGTTCAACTACTTCCTTAGCAACGATCGAGGCATTAAGATCGATTTTTGCGAGATATGGGCTACCAGATCAGCTGGTAAGCGACAATGGACCACAGTTCCGATCTTATGAATTTGAAAATTTTTGCAGAAATAACGGCATAAAACACACATTGACACCACCGTTCCATCCTGCTAGTAATGGGGCAGCGGAAAATGCCGTAAAGGCAGTCAAAACCGCGTTAATAAAAGCTTTCAGCGATGGTAGAAATTCAAATATTTCTACGAGCTGTTTATTGGCTAGGTATTTGCTCAATTATAGAGCTGCTGATCATGGCACGACAAATAAGTCTCCAGCTAGTATTATGTTTGGAAGGGAACTGAAATTAAGGCTCAGTAATGTCAGACCAAAATATAAGACAGATTCAGAAGAATTAACTATTTGTAAGCCCGGAAGAGCCATAAGTTTTGAACAGGGGGAGGATGTTTACATCCGCGACTATAGCAATATAAATAAAAAGAGCTGGATACCAGCAAAGATTCACAAAGTACTGGGACCTAGGGTTTACCTATGTAAAAATTCAAAGGGAATGTACAAGAGACATTTAGACCAGATTTTACGGAGCATTCCTACTACTACTACCGATAATAAACCTTTGATCTCTACAAATTGTTCAGATAATTTTAAGTACACGATTGTTCCATTACATGATAATACAGTATCAGGTTCAGAAGTGAATGTGGCTCAAACGAATATTCAAATAAATAATCCGGTGTTGACCCACGCTCACTCCCGACCAGTTAGAGTAAGGAAAAAGCCAGATCGGCTTGATTTGTAATTTTAGACTTATATGGGGAGGTGTGTTATGTTGACGCATCCGGTATAAAAGAACGATAACATGTACGGACCGTTGACAAGCAAAATCGCTCTCTCCCAACCCGACTTTCGACGAGTACGTAACAAGGCGTGTGAATAATATACGAAACATTGATTTATGCCTTTTATTTACACCCTGCCATTTCGGCATACATAACAGTACAGATCTGAGTTTTATGTCTTATATGAATCAGAATTCTCTAGACTACATGCTTGACTAGTTCTTTTTTTGAAATATCCATACACTTTTTTGTTGTGACTTGATAAAGAGAAAAATCAACATCGGGGTAAGTTGTAACAAACTCGCCGGGGCAAAATGTAACACGTTACAACTTACCCCGGGTTTAAGAATTAATAATTACCTACCTATATTTTGTTTTGTATAGGTAATTTTACAATGAGGACCTATAAGAAAAAAACGGAAAGAGGCAATACCTCGAAAGAGGACATGGAACAAGCCGTGAATCGTGTTTTAAATAACAATGAATCGCAAAGATCTGTAGCTAAAAGTTTAAACATATGTCATGTAACGCTTCACAGATATGTAAGAAAAGTTCAGAATTCTGGTCATAACGAAGGCCCCGTTAGTCTATCAAATGTTGGTTACTCTAGAAAACCTGTTTTTGATGAAAATCAAGCACAAAAACTTGTGGATTACATTAAACATGCATCGAAAATTTATTTTGGCCTTAGTCCAAAAGAAGTGCGAAAGTTTGCATATGAGTGCGCTCTTACATATAATGTCACAGTTCCTGATTCCTGGAATAAAAACAAATGCGCCGGAGAGGACTGGCTTACACAATTTTTAAAGAAGCACGAAGATCTCTCAATTCGGACACCCGAGGCGACTAGCTTACAAAGAGCCATAAGTTTTAATAAACAGAACGTGTCATCATTTTTTGACAAACTGGCAAGCGTAAGAGACAAATATAACTTTAATTCAGCAACTATCTGGAATTTGGACGAGACTGGAGTGACGACGGTCCAAAAAGTTAGCAAGGTTCTGGCGGAAAAGGGAACTAAGCAAGTTGGTGGTATCACATCAAGCGAGAGAGGTGTACTCGTCACTGTGTTGGTTGCTGTTAGTTCCTCAGGAAACTCTATTCCTCCGCAATTTATATTTCCCAGAAAAAAGTACCATGACTATTTTATACGAGATGGGCCTCCTGGAAGCATTGGTGCTGCAAATGGGTCAGGGTGGATGACATCTGACGAATTTTTTTAATTTATGGAACATTTTGTGTTTCACGTGCGTCCATCTCGAGAAAATCCGGTACTTCTGCTACTCGATAATCACGAGTCCCACTTAGCAATAAAAACTATTAATTTTGCTAAGGAAAATAACGTGATAATGCTGTCGTTCCCACCGCATTGCTCACACCGGCTTCAGCCATTAGATAGGAGTGTGTATGGTCCCTTTAAGAAATATTTGTCAAATTCTCAAGCTGCCTGGCTCAGGAATAACCCAGGTAAATCAATGACCATATACGACATACCATCTTTAGTTCGAGATGCTCTTCCACAAGCATTGACTCCTATAAACATAATGAAAGGGTTTAAAGTGTCAGGTATTGAACCGTACAACAGAGACATTTTTACTGATGACGAGTTTTTGCCTGCTGGCGTAACGGATCAACCATTGCCGAACGCTGAATCGTCAGCTACCTCGCCTGTGCTTCAATTATCTGGTTCCTCAAATGCTAATAGTCAAGACATGTCCCAGCCATCTACTTCTTCTGCTCATTGTGAACAAGTGATCCCAGAAAATGACTCGTTGAGCCCTAAAAATAAACAAGAACATACAATTCAAGAGCCAAAAGAATTTTCTCCAGAATTTGTGCGCCCGTTTCCGAAAGCTGAACAAAGGAAACCATCTACAAGGGGTCGGAAGAAAAGAAAGTCTGCTGTCTTAACCGATACTCCAGAGAAAGACGAATTGGAGGCAGAACAAAACAGCCGGAAGTCGAAGAAAACCAAAGAGATACAAAAGAAAAAGGTTGAAAAGGCAAAAAGAAAAGTTATGGTAGAATCTGATGATAGTTCTGATGAAGAATGCTTTTGCTTGGTTTGCACTGAGCCATTTAGCAGAAGTAAGCCTAAAGAAAAATGGATTAAGTGTTTCCATTGTGAATTTTGGTCATACGAAGCCTGCACTGATGGGGGATTTCCTTATATTTGTCATAACTGCGATTCCGATGAAGACTAATACATAAAATATATAAACAGTTATATCTCTAGTTTGTGATTTTCAATAATATAGTTACATGTGTTTAGTTTTTGCTAAGAAACCGAATGTTTAGTTAATTTTACTATATGTTACAACTTACCCTGAGTGTTGTTACAACTTGCCCCTGATACGGGGCAGGTTGTAACAAATACAACAAGCATTTCAAAAAAAATCCTAGCTTATACTTTTACGTTTTTTAGTATCGTTACTGTGTTATTTTGTAGGTTAGATGTAAGAAAAGATATAAAAAAATATATTATAATTTTCCAAGTAAAATTGTTTAGATTAGAGTAAAAAGTAAATTTTTTGTTACAACCTGCCCCGGTCTCCCCTATAGATTATTTCTCTAAATTTATTGAATTATCAGTAGGTACTTAGGAATGGCACAAACGCAAAAATAGTCATCAATGAGCTGAAATCCATATTTAGTCGACAAGGAATACCTGTCACACTAATTTCAGACAACGGACCTCCTTTTAACGCCGTAGAATTTGCCAATTTTATCAAAGAGTGGGACATTCAACACATCACGACAAGCCCGTATCACTCACAGTCCAACGGTCAAGTCGAACGAGCAATCGGAACTATCAAGAGAATGCTAATGAAAACTATCGAGTCGAATGGAGATCCCTATCTAACATTATTACAGTATAGGAATACACCAAACGATAGCAAGAACAGTCCTGCTCAACTCCTGATGTCTCGTCGTCTTAGATGTTCCCTGCCAGTTCATGCAGATTTGCTTCTACCGAAACCAATAGATGTAAATCGTTATGAAAATTGGGTCGAAGATAGAAACAAGAGGATGAAAGACATTTACAATAGAGGAGCAACCAAACTACCAGAATTAATGACTGAAGACGATGTATTGTTTAAGAAGATTCCATCAGATAAGAAATGGATACAAGGAAAAATAACGCAGGTTGGTCCTGAGCCAAAAAGCTACATCATTCAATCTAGGGATGGGATGCATTATAGACGAAATAGGGTTCACATAACGAAATTTTACAAATCCAATTGTAATCCAGAATATGGTAAATCGAATAATACACACCCCAGTCAACACGTAACTCTCAGTTACATAACTGAAAGAGCTCTACTAAGTAACATTGATATGTTACAGTTGTAACTGAAATGATATGTAACTGAAAGGGCTCTAAAAGGTAACAAAGCTATGTAACAATTGTAACTGAAATGATATGTAACATAGAGGTTGGAATGTTCTATACCAAACACGTAATAATCACTTACATAACTGAAAGGGCTCTAGAAGGTAACAAAGTTATGTTACAATTGTAATCGAAATGATATGTAACATAGAAGTTGGAATGTTCTATACCAAACACGTAATAATCACTTATATAACTGACAGGGTTCTAGAAGGTATCAAAGTTATGTTACAATTGTAACCGAAATGATATGTAACATAGTGGTTGAAATTGGCCCAAACCGCTTGAAGCACTGTTAGGGTCTTAGGGAAGTCAAAGTCTCAAAGTGGCCATTCTAATGATGAGCTATAATGGCATATGAAGGTACATCAAGGTTGTTAATACAAAATTTCTTTTCTTATCCATAAAATAGGTACACCATCTTTTGCGCAGTCTCGTACTGTCGTGAGACGCCATTTCTATCTCCTATGTGACACGCTGTTGATGAACGGAATTTTTGTGGTGTTTATCTACGGTTTTTTGTGAGAAGAGGTAAAAACTTGTTTCTTTTTGATATTAAACCGTTATTTTCTAATACAATTAATTCATATTACCATTTCGTTAGGTGAAGTATATCTGAAAAGAAGTACGCATATACCTCTAGTGAAAAGTAAAGGTTAACGGCTGCGGGACACATAACCTCAACAGTCAACCTCAAGCGAAAGATAAAGTTCTTTTTGACGCTATATTGAAATAAGTCGGTGTTGTTTTGGTTCAGTGTTTGTGTAAGTATAAATTTATATTCTACCTTTTTTATTTGGGGATTAGCTGTTCCCTTCTTGGGAAAAGGAATCATTTTCCGTTCAAGCATTTGGAATTGATGAATAATATTTTAAGTAAGCAACACTATTTTTACATAATGAAAGCTGTTTTGGTGGAAACGCAGTTTGTCTTATAGAACTTTCTTTTATCCAGATGCCGTTCGGCAAACTTTCCCCGACACTACCGAAAGTGCCATTGAATTGACGGTGGGTGAGTGGTTACACTTAAGCACGCTGAGACAGTCAAGAGAAAAACCTCTCCAAAATCAATAATTTTATTATATATTATTAATGAATATTTGAAATGTATCTATTGTGATAATATTCTACATTTTTAGGAATTGTTATTTTGTTTTATTTTATAAGAATATATCTTTATTTTTTCACTGCTGCATTTAGTTATTTTTACATTACTGTAGCCTTCGTTTGCGTTACATAAGGCTCTCATGTATACTAAGATATACATATTTGTTATGTAACTACCATATTTACTGTAACCTTCAGTTGCGTTACATACAACCCCCATGCAACGTAATGTTACATATATGTTACATATTTGCTTAAACCTTCAGTTGCATTACATATTACTCTAATGTAATGTATGTTTGTATATACGATACATAACTGGGTTATTTGTTGTAACATTCCGTTGTGTTACTTATTACGTTCATGTAACATATATATACATGTATGTTACATAGCGTGACGTATTCGTTACGTTACACCGTTACATAACAGTGCTAGGCGTTTTGTGTTACTTGCATGTAACATTTAAGTTACTAGATACATAACGAACCACCTAGTTAACTATTATATTTATGAATCGGTTACGTTACAATGTTGACTGGGACGTAGATCTTAATACCGATTATAATATAGATAATAATTGCAATGATTGTAATAATTACCGTATTTATAGTAATTTTGATAATGTTAATAATGAACCTGCTAATGACAATGGTTCGACTTCGAACCTTAATGTAACTACTCGCTCAGGCAGACAAATTAAGGTACCTAATAAATTAGACTTGTAACTTCCAAAGGGAGATGTTACGGAATTAGTATTAGACGTGGCTGTAGCCACAATTCACGATACATTAGTTAGCACTAGTTGACTAATGACCTTCACATACAAATGTCATGACATGTAAGCAAGCCGTCACTTACAATATACTTACTTAAGTAAATCCTGTGTCATCCTTATTTATAATTGTCGCCCTATAATTAACAATAATCCTCCAAGTGTCTTGGTGGCTGCCTGGCTCTAGTGCTCTTCCTAGTAGAATCGGTGTTGACAGTTGTTTCATCTTCCTTGACGTGAGTAGTACCTTGTTCCTTTTGCTCCTGCGGTTCAACATTTTCTTCCCGCAAATCCTTTTCTGGTACATCTAATATCACATCGCTATCTTTCTGCAATACATTTCTCGCATACAAATTATTTTCATCAAAGATGACATCTCTAGCTGTCACTATCTTCCGTCGTTCCGGATCCCATAAACGATATGCATTGTGCGAGTACCCAACCATTACATACGTAGTACTTTTTGGACTAAATTTACCATCAACTTTAGACTTGGGTATATGGCAATACGCTGTGCTTCCAAAAACACGCATATTCCTCACATCTGGTTTCAATCCATAAAAATATTCTGCTGGCGTCATCTCCAGACTGGCTGTGGGACTTCGATTTGTTACATACAGGGTGATTCCTATAGTACCTGCCACCGTTTGGGAGCGTATAGGGGGTGCCTAGGGGAGTATTTTGATATAGGACACTTGGGGTCGGAAATCTAAAAAAGGGCGCCAGAACCAAATTTATCTTCTGGAATTTCACGCCTGTATGTAGGCAACCCCAACCGACCGACGTTTCGCGCGGAGCGATGCAGAGCGAGTTAGCGCGAGAAGCGACATGGGAGGGAAGGAGGGAAAACGACAGTCAAAAGCAATAACGTTACAAGTGTTCAACGTGGCCACCGTTGTTCTCAATGCACTTCCTACATCTAGCCAACCACTCCCCTCGAACTCGCGTGAAGACTCCTATGTCCTGGCGAACAGCCTCTCCGGCCATGACGACGCGCGCAATTAAGTCCTCTTCGGATTCGACGGGAGTCTCGTAGACGTGCGCTTCATCACACCCCACAAGTAAAAATCTAATGGGGTGATGTCGGGCGAGCGGGCAGGCCACTCCACCGCACCCTCCACGGCCGATCCATCTGTCCGGATAGGTTTGGTCCAAGTGTTCCCTCACCTGCCGCCCGTAGTGAGCAGGGCACCCATCGTGCTGGAACCAGTGGTCCCAGTACAAGTTCACTGGGTTGCCTACCTACAGGCGCGAAATTCCAGAAGGTAAATTTGGCTCTGGCACCCTTATTTTAGATTTCCGACCCCAAGTGTCCTATATCAAAATACTCCCCTACGCACCACCTACACGCTCCCAAACGGTGGCAGGTACTATAGGAATCACCCTGTATGCTGCACACAAGATTGATTCTCCCCACATCTCCTTTTTTAAGTTGGATTCGAGGATCATGGCTCTCGCTTTTTCCAGCAGTGTTCTGTTCAACCTTTCCGCCTTACCATTTTGTTCAGGTGTGTACGTAACGGTGGTTCGAAGTTGAATACCCTTCTTCCTACAAAAACTCTTGAATTCGTTTGACGTGTATTATGTGGGGTTTGTCCTACAAGCAGACTGAGTAATCTCCTAAATATATATTTGATTTTATTTCTCTTCTACTACTTAACAGTTCTATATAGGCGCTTTCCAATGACCTGCATAGCGCGCTTCCGGAGTGCTCCGTAACTGCTCGATTAACTTTTTGTGTGTTCCTTTGCACAGAAGCGCCACACTCTTGAACCGCACATTTTGCATTCCCCTGCCCCCTCAAACACATGCAAATTTTTAGAACAGTTCAAAAGTTTTACGCACTTTTAGGTTAGGATTTTAATAACATTTGTTGCAATGGATATGTTGGTGATGGTAAGTACCGAAAAATATACTTCCTACTTGTATGAACAATGATGTATTTCAGGATCTGTTGACGGGTACCTTATCTGAAACTGATGCATCAGATTCCTCAGATGAAGATGACCAATTTATAAAGGAACCCCCAACCAAGATTACTCGCATTGAAAATTTTGTTGAAGAAACAGTACCACAATACAGTGATTAGGGTTGCCAGATATAAATTTCCAAAAAGGGGTACGTTAGGAGTGAGCATAGATGGGACGTTGTCGCAACCGGGGGGTATTCCATACCCCCCAGTAGGCGGGGGGTCCGGGGGTTCTCCCCCGGAAAATTTTTGAAATTTTGGTAGCATTAAACATGTTTTTAGACTAATTTACGTCTTTCTCAGACCACAAAAATGCGTAGAATATAGGCCATTAAATGCGGCATTTCAAGATTTTAAACACACTGGTCAATTATTTACTCAAATGTTTGAGCATTGAAAGAAATACATTTTTCTACTACTACCTTAGAATCACGTCATACTTGCTTCTTTTTTAACAACAGAATCTCGCCTATTCTCTGCTAGTGAAGTGGAATAATTTCATTCTAGCTCTTGTGATGGAATGACTTAGACCATATAGTACATGGACTGCTATTAGCCCTATGCTTTCAATACAAAATGGATGGTCACGGATAGAGGGCACTGTAGTCGTGGGTATGTGAATCTCAGGGTAAACTAAAGTCGTATAAACACCACTCGGATCGCGTAAAGAGTAGCTTTTATAGTAACCGCGTAGTACGGGAAGCTTTCAATCCTCCTGATTATCTTCTATACGTCCACAAATCGCAATAAGTTTGCTTTTTTTGGCATATCTAGGCGATTAATTAATTGACGTTTGTTAATTTATAGGTTGACAGTCTCAAATCGTGTCTAATCGGACAACTTCGGATAGACTCGTTTACCCTGAAACTCGCATACCCAGGCGATGTCCTTGACTATATTTTCGTTACAATTAGCAGTCCATGTACTATATGGTCTAAGTGGAATGAGCACATGTGGCGACATCTAAAACAGGACATCCTAAACCACAATTCTTAAACTGTCAAAATTTTAATTACGCTTGCGCCAGATATTAAATTTTAAGGACCGGTAGCGCGAAAATGAATAGCAGTGGCCAGTGAGGATTTAATGGAACTTTCAAATTCTCCCCCGGAAATCACCGTGGAAGCAGAACACGCAAAAAAATTTACTTCCCGACAAACTAAAAGTGTACGAACATACATACAGCAAATTTTTGGAGTGGAGGACAAGAAAAAAACCAACTCATTTTCAGAGAACGTAGTGCTTACTTTAGCAAACTATCACAGTAAATTAAAGCATCCACATTGTGGAAAACGTATTCCATGCTGTGCTCTACGATACTTTTGAACAATAATGTAGATATAAGCAGCTATGCTAAGTTGCAGGCCTTGTTAAAAATGCAATCCAGCGGCTATTTCCCTAAAAAGTCAAAAATTCTATCAACGAGCAAAGTAAAAATGTTTATTCAAAAAGCACCCCCGACAGTTCATATCTACTATAACATTACACGTTCAAATCGTTACTCGTTACATCATATTTATTTTACATTTGCAGGTTGCTCTTATAGTTGGCATTAGTGGTGCTTGTCGTAAGCACGAATTGTGGAACATAAAAATCGGTGGACTTAGGTGGAACTGTAATTAGAATACCCAATACGAAAACTAATGTACAACGAAAGTTTACAATTACGAGGAACCCGTACGTTGGTATACCTACAACCAAACATCAAGTTGCATATTCTACAATGAATTAATGTACCTCACTGCACTATACAAAAAGAACATCCATATCAAAACAGTTAACGTTGTTGGTCATCCAGAACACATTTCCTCCAGGAAGTTTTAAAACTAACCTAAAATATAATGCTCACTAAAATGTTACCTACACTCGTAGATACCTACTTACATACAAATTTTTCGAGTAGTGCTATGATGTTTATTTCTAATTTGCATCCATAACGTCCTCTTTGTAGCATTTTGTATTTGAATTTATACACATGAATTGGCCTTATTCGATTGAAGAAATGCATTATGGGAAATCTGACCCCAGTTCTATGATTCCTGTTTTAGCGACTCCCATGAATTATATGCATTTGCAATTAACTAACTTCACGATGTTGTACGTAAACATAATAACGTAACCTCTATTTTGTGTTTACGTAGAAATAATACCCTTTGCAATAAATATTTCATGTGCTTTAGTTGATATAATGTCGAAAGTGAAAAAAAAGGGCCAACGGTGTTGTGTACCAGGTTGTCAATCTGATACAATCGCAAACCGGAATGTATCATTCCATACATTTCCAAAAGACTCTAGTGAAAAACAGATTTGGATTAATCGAATTAATAGAGTTGGAA